TAAATATAAACAGTAATAATGAGAAGTGACAGTTTCACAATGTGTTCAGGATGGCTGTCAACCAATGTACAATACAATGGGGATTATCACCTGAAAACTAATGGCAATTAAGTGATTCCAGACACATGCATGTCATTACTACAGGGTAATTAAAGGTGTTTGATAATCATTTGCAGTGCCATTATTCTGTGCCACAAACAGGAAGTTGTCATTCATAAACAATGCTTCATACTGACTCACCAACTTCTAGAATGCCAGTCAAACAAGAATTAAATAAAGTTTAAAGCAATTTATATTCTTCTCTATAAAAGATGCAGCACTAGTTGTGCACGTCACCTTCTGTGGTGAAATATCAAATAGTTATCCTGCTGAGCAAGGTGTTTGGCAAGGATGAGTGCTCTCTTCGTCTTTATTTCGTGTCTATATTAATTATTTGATCAATGAATTGAGAAAAAAGACCGGTCTTGTTGCATGAGGATTAAAAATCCCAGTTGTTATGCATGCTGATGACACTACATTAGCCAGCACTACACCTACTGGTCCACAAGTTGCTCTTAACACTGGTACACAGTATGCATCTGATTGGAGAGCGAGAGTAGTTCTAAAGATGAAACCAATAAGTTCAATTATGATAATGCGATGTTGCCAAAACACAAGACGCACAGAAAGCTCACTCACATCGGTAGGAATAACAGCTATGATTTTGATTTTGATACCATTGTATGTTTGAAAATATGACACCAAATGATTCCATGTACTAACTTCTATGCGTGAGCTGCTTAGTGGCAAAAATGCTGATAGAGCAATACACAACGGCACTTTGCTAGTCATCAGACCGTAAATTATCAACTGATTCAACCACAGCGAATCTAGGAATGTGGTCACTAACCCTATACATAGACAAATGATGGCTACTACTCCTTGGAAGACTGAGCACACTCTCATGTCACAGTACTACTAACACACTTATTGTATGTTCATACTTAGCGTAGCGTAAGTCAATGTACATAACATCAAAACCAGCACTGAGACATGTGACACAATATCAACTGCTTGTAAATACAACCTTAAGAATGTCATGTCAACCTTTATCAGATATATATTCCTTGCAAACCTGAATGGGGAAGAATGGTATCTGCTGCAATATCCTTGTATGTAAGATTGGTGGATTATCACTGAGAAAAGATCTGGTCAGATACAGGTCAACTCACTCGAAACGTACACTACAAGTACTGTGGAAATTAGCACTAACTCAGCTTGCATTAAGTACTCTTACGACAGCTTCCAGATAAAGGCACTACTTCTCCGATTAATAGGTTAGTATGTACGTAGTCAGTGACGAAAACGGACCAACGTTGATGACAATAAACTCCACAAAATTGTAAGATTCAAAACAGTCTTCAAAAAGAAACGGGACCTTTTTTCAGGTGTTGAGTGTGTGACGAACTGTTGTACTTGTCCTTGTACTTTAATGTCTCGCTGGTTGTACACAGTAGTACTTGTCCTAGAGTAACCTGTTAATGTACAAAGTCTCTTCTTTAAGTCGCATTTTAGAAGCAGGGAGTACAATATTGATAATGTTTATGCATAACAACTTCTCTTATTTCATGAGTGCAATGTTTGGGAGTACTGCACTTTACTTGGGTTCCCTAACCTAATCCAACCCTTTGTAAAGGGTGCCTAACAAGGATCGTTGGCACTAGAGAGTGTATCGCGTTGCAATACATGCTTGCGTGTATCGATTCCTAATCCGATTCAAATTTTTTATGCTATATCCATCTCCGTCAAAGTCTTGATAGTAAAATGATACCAGACCGCTCCGATAAATAGATTAGCTTTACTTAACAATTGGCTCGATGGACCAATCAGCGTGGCACAGGTAATGCTATGAAAAGTAGCGATAACCGTGATATGGATCGTGACCTAAAGGGAGCATTGCGAGGGTGTATCGTGACACCCTAGGTGGCACACCTAATATGTAAAGTAAAGGGAGCGGGGCTGCGCCCGGTAAAGATGCATTTTAGCCCAATGTTTCAATACAGATTCTTGTACCATTGTCAAGCAGGTACAAGAACCTGTATTGAAACATCGCACTCACTAAATAAAAGAAGTTGTTATCTATAAAGTTTGTCAATACTGTATAAAGTCTCACTGGCTGTAAACAGAAGTAGTGGTCCTCAAGTAGTCCTACCAAAGTTATTCCTTATACTGGACAGTGTACATGCTTGATGCCACTCACTGTACTCTGCAGCTGCCATTTGTCGTGTCCTTGATTCACTCAAAGAAACATGGGGAAAACTCCAGTAGTCATGTTTCTATTACCGAATTGATGATTCAAATTGTGAATATAGTCATATTCAGGTGAATTTGTACTTAAAATCCACAATCAGTGGCAGGTGTGCTCTGCAAGGACAGGGGAATTGGTATAAAAATACAACAAACCATGGTTCAGATGTATAATAATGTTTTACTACACATACAACAGTTCACTTTTATAATTAAATGGAATTTCTTGAATGAATAACAAAGATATTCATAGAAATTTACATATTGAGGACCAATATACATGATACATGCTAAATATTAGAAACAGCTTGCAATTGCACTTTCATAGCAGACTCACATTTCAGTGCTTAATGATGGACAGCTACAAGAACAACCACAGTGTTGAAATGAAAGAGGTATCAGGTTAATCAAAACACCAGTCTCATATTTTACATGTACTAGATTAGTAGATTGAACAGTACACTGGTGCTTCACATCACTTATAAAGTATGTCCTTTTCAACGATGTCATCAATTAGGCTGGTTTCTTTTCCCCGTCTCACTACATGTCAGTATTCACTGGAGTACTCCAAGAATGTCCATGACCTCTTGAAATGTCATTATACGTGTTTGGGATTTGTTGAAATAATATCCTGTGTATTATCTGGTAATCAAAAGTACACAATCACACGTTTAGACATCTGAACACTTTCTTATAACACAACATCAGTGCAGTTGACGTCTGGATATTATGTTGCATGCGACAGAATAACCGAGTTAAATAAACGGAAGAAACATAAAATCTGAGCGTTGAGCCTTCTGCAAGTGACACTGTCATAAAAACGTAACGACCAGCTTATCTTTCACTTTCACAGATTATCGACTTTTTGAGAAAACGCCGAAATTTGTTTGGCTATTTCATTGGTCAGTTCTTCTTTGCTTGCTTTTGGGTGGTCTTTGACGTATTTTGAGATGGCCAGAATCGTTTGATTGCGCAAGGCATCAATATCTTTTTCCCCACTCAGCCGACTCCACAGCTCGTAGCCTATCCGTGCTGTAGTAATATCTTTCAGCGTGCTTGCATCGCCTTCGTTGATCCACATCAATGTCCCTATTTGCGTCAACAACTCAGCGTTGTTCAATGACCAAGACTGGAGATCCATTATTGTTTCTTCTACGGGCTCTGATTTTCCAATAAATATTTCGACAAGTTATGTTGACATCGAACACTTCCCAATGACCCTGTACTACTATGGTCGCGACTAGTTGGATCTTTATGTAAATACCTAAAACATCAGAAGACCCAACGATGGAAATAAAACAGGCTATCTTTGGATAACGATATATATCCATAGAACTACTCCCTGTTGATTTGTACTTGATAACATGTTTATATGCCTTCACAATGGCAGTACCTTTCAACAGTACATTTTTCTTAAAATTAATGAAGAGAGTTTTGAAACGAGAGAATCACTGTTCATGGTTTTTCTTGTATATCAAATATATCGTAAATTATTTTAACAAAGCCAATGCTGATATCAAATTATGCATACTTTTCGATCCGACTTGATGAAATGAGGTGCTACTCCTCATTTTGTCCACACGTGTAGTAGCCTGCACGTGGAATTCGATTTGTGTACAAAGGCAGGGATAATCTACGACTTCTATTCTCCCTGACTAAAGTAACCTTTTCCCCAAGTGTCATGACAATATGATTCATATCTTGGGACGCACAAAATGGAAAAATAAATAAATTACTTGGAAATAGAAATGACAGCGTTATTGCAAAAATGGTTGCAAGGCAACAGAACACATTCCCTCTTGGGTGCGCTTGTCACGCCAATACCCGGGTTCGCAGCTCAGTCTTGCCCCGACATATGACTGCAAGTAACCACACGCACGCGCCACACCACACCACACCACACCCCATACCTGTGGAGGGGGTCCGATAACGAACATCCACCCATCACATACGGGCGTCATATAACCCTTATATCTCTGACAGAAACAGAAGGGAGGGTGAAGGAAACAATAGCCAAAGTTAATGTAAAACAAAATACGGCAAACAAACAATAGAGACCTTCTGTAAACATTTTCATATATTCCTCTTTCAGTTCAGATCTCGAAATATTACTGGAACTACACCCTTCCGAGAAAAAGATAAGTGGTAAATTATCGTCGGACCCCATGTAACATTAGTGCTGTAATAAATCAAATATGGCCTGGTAACCAGCAATACAAATCACGTTTCCTTACTAATTTCCTGCAAGCGTGATTTCCCTACCCTGGCGTTACCTCAATATACCACATCTGGTGCCGCGGGCTGTTTCGGACCACAGCTTCCATTCACCCAGAAATAGATGATATGTTTACGCTACTTTCTAGCTTAAACCTGTACAGATTTTCTTGTCCAACATGCTGAAGAGACGATCTTGGAACCTACCAAGGTAAATACTAGCCCTTATATGTTCTTTTACATGAAATGCACCACTTATTCAATGAGAAACACCAATAATCTGTGATCTATACCATATATGCAAACGAAACGATTATAAGGAGTCTTCTAATCTTAACCTCAATTTCAGATATATATACACATTTACCCTCAACGACAGACAGATGTTTGTGTCAACTGACGCTATGTGCTTTTGGAAATAGTTGGTTGGAAAGTAGATTTTACATTGAAAACAATTTCCAGCGCCCTCTTGCGAGGTTAAGTTAGGGTTACTTCCGGTGTAATATTTTCTATGGAAGTGTTGTCATTAGAATTCTGCGACTTTCAATCCTTATTTCTCCACATGTGATGGGATTTTGATGAAATTTGCATTCTTAGTAGAAGACTGGTGAAAAGGACATGCCAGATACTAAAGAGAGGTAAATATGATTTCCACTTGAAATATATAATCTTCTCCACATGTTCAAACCCCACCTTTGTCAAATTTAGACCCTTGCCTTTGTTTTCATAGATTGTAAGAAGAAACAGGTGGAATGTGAGAGCTATTCCGTTTCAGAGGTCAGAATCAATAATTTCAGCATAGATTCAGACTGCTAGTTTTGTGATGAGATAACGCTCTCATTTCTATTGCATCTATGCACCTTTTGCTATATTTCCAACGACAGATGATTACAAGCTCAGCTATGAAAGAACTGGGGAATAATCAGTTGACTATTTTTTTCTTCATGTTTCTAATGATAGCGATTTGCATGATGACGGAGACTTGAAAGGTTAACATTTTTGGAGAAGTTCAGGCTTATACTGAATGCTGATTGTGATTGTTTTGGTGATAAGAAAGTTTTCATAATGATTAATGATTTATACCGCTTTAAGCATATAGTTTGTCACATCAATTGACACTTTGTTATGTCAAATCTAAATGTGAATAAAATACTTTCCATTGCCCTAGTCCTCAGAAATGGTAGCAAATGATAATAATGTCCATATATTGTTTTGTGCCAAGTATCAAGTAATGCTCCCGTTATCATTTATTACATGACTGGCAACTGACCAAGATGCTGAAAATTTAAAGATATACTAAATATGACTGACATATAGAGACTGTCCTATTTGATTGTTTGGTATCATGCATTTAATAAATCACTCAATTACCAGTATTTAAATGTCTTCAAGGATATGCCAGATACTGATACAACATATACAGCTCTTACTGACAGGATGTGATAAGAAGTATAAGAATTTCTACAGTCTGTGTCACTATCTGATCATCTTATCATTATTGATTAAGGAAGTAGAGACACACAAAGTTAATGTCCAGTCGGCGTGCTGATAATTATATGCAACACTTCACTTGATTTAAGCCGATTACTGTCCTGGCAAAGATGAGGCAATAAATCAGTCAATGTCAAGCCAACTGCCTTGAATAGGGATAGGCTAAATGCAAACTAGCCCCAGATGGTGAAGCTGATGAGACACCTGAACATAAAAACCAGTATATCAGTGGTTACTATTTTTAGATCTCTGATGTACTACTCGTCATGTTTGTATCCTAACGTAAATATTGACAGGATTAACCTGAGAGGCCATTGAAATTTTGCAACATCTGTACTGACATGAGCATTTCATTGTTTGTTTAAGCGATATATACACAAGTTAAAGATATTTTATGTCAATATCACTCATCATTGTTATTTTATCTTATTGTATTTGAAATATGAACTTTGCTTTTGAGATAATGCTGCTGGTTGATACAATATTAGATCATAAGGATAGAAGTCATGCCTATTATTGGCCATTTTTGTTTTGTGCATCAAATCGTGATGGGGGAAAGAACAGTGTTTGTAATTCTAGCATCTATGGGAGATTGTTTTTACAAATGAGTCCCTCTCAGTACTACAGTTGAATCTAAAATGGCCACCTAATACAGCATTGTGCTGTTATCTGAATCCATATATATTTTTCACAGAAAGATTTTGAAACAATAATTAATGCTTTATTTCATATTATGTAGTGGTACATAATACAGTCATATTCTAGATTTAAAATGCATGGATATGTGAAAGCTTCATGCTGCTAAAGCTTTAATGAGCACTTACCTTAACAAAGTTTGCTTGCCTCAGATTTGAAAAGTTTTGATTCAACATTGTGTTGGCATTGTCCTAAATAATTATTTAGATCCATTGTAATGCAAATTGCAAGTTATATTCGATCATGGTGAAATATGTCGAGTCCTGCATCAGAGTAACCCCTGATTGTTTTGCACTGAAAAGTCATCACACTTTAAACACTTTCAAATATGAGGATTTGTGTCTGGGGGTGTACATAGCTGAAAGTTACAGATCAGCTTGGGTTAATGGTTTGTATAAAAATGGAATTTGGGGGAAATTAAGTTGGATGGAATTTCACTTTTCCTGGCTTGAGACATCTCCAGTTATTCTTCATTTTTGCATTGTGATTGTAGACTTTACTTTCAATATTCTCAACTTGAATATCTTTTTCTATGAACATTTTGATAACAGATTTTAATCATGATAGGGACTGTTGGTGTTTGGTCATCAGATCTGTGTTGAATCAGTAGATAAAATGGCTCACTATAAAGTTAATTATTTTATTTACTGGTGTGAAGGCATGTATCAAATTTGTTGTCCATAAATGAAAAATCGGTCTGTTTGACCCTGACCACATATAATATGTGGATATTGTGACTGTAAGACATCATGCATGGAACATTGTGCATGTGGGGAAGAGGTCAAGTTATACAATAGTGTTCCCTGAATTATGTGTGCCACTGAGGTGTGGTTGTGAGGTCACATGATGTAGTGGGACACAGCTGTGTCAGAGGGTGGCCGTGATACAGTAGTTATCTTAGGTCAACAGGTTCACATGTCGGATATGCTGGCTGATTATTTCCAACAATGTGACAGTCACGTTCAAGACCAGTGTCGGGAATTGGTTTTACTTTCAACACGGATCTTTGGATTGCAAAAAAAAAAGATTGAATTACATTGAAAACATTTACACTTGTCAATTACTATTTGTTCTCAGTGTCCTTCATATATACAACATAAACTTGCAACAGATATCTAATTAGTACTATTCTATTATCATCTGCCAGACTGTACTAGGGACACTTTGAAATGCATTGAAACCATAACTGTTATTAGCCTCATTGTGCAATTCTACACATTTAATATTCCCAAACAGATTCACTTAACGGAACATGTATGACTGGAAATTATTAATCATATTTGACATGATTGATCCCTTGGTAATGTTTTCTGGAGACTGAAATCAGCCTACCATTGATAAAATTGATTAACGTGAGCAACTCTTGTTATAACAGAATCTATAACCAATATACCTCAGGGTTTTACGCGCATATATGTACAGAATGGAAGCAGAAAACCTGAAATGTCGCATCCAGAGAAGCACACAAAAGTACCGAGAGCATACCTACAGCAAATGAACAGTAGTTATCTGGGTCTGTTATTTCACCCATCAGTCATGACCACTGATTCATTGAAGGCTCTGAAGTAATTATCTGAACATACACTACACTACACCATTTCAATACCCTACAGAATCCTCATATTACCAGCAAGGACATGTAACATTTATTGATGGGGTCCCCCTGGATCCCCACTTTTGTAAGTGAAGGTAAACCCATGACGCCTCATACACCAAAGGGGGTGGTGGGTAGCCCTGTGGTTAAAGCATTCGCTCGTCATGCAGAAGACCCGGGTTCGATTTCCCACATGGGTACAATGTGTGAAGCCCATTTCTGGTGTCCCCCCGCCATGATATTGCTGGAATACTGCTTAAAGCGGCGTAAAACTAAACCCACTCACTCACTTATACACCAAAGTCCAGTATTTCACTCTTAGATTGTACAGTGAAGGACCTTGTACAATACAAGGTTTGTTTAAGTGATAAAGTGGGAATTAGGCAGGTATTTTTATGCCCAAACAGGGTCAAAGTAACTGCTTGTCCTTTGGCCAGTAGCCAACAGTAATAGTATAGTGTCTGCTATTATGTGGGACAAGTGACCTGATGGGCTAGTTGATGCCTTATACTCACACATATAGTGGGTATATATAATGGATAGTTATTTTTCATTCCAGAGACTTTTCAAGGCTTATAGGATGATCCTGCCAAGCAGTTGATTTCTATTCTGAAATACATTTAGTTCATAGTTAAAAGTTTGTGTTGGGAGTTATTACACAAACCAGCATTCCTTATTTCTTTTTCACTTAGTAGTATTCCTGCTATTAGACAATATTGTGTAAATGTTCATTTCTTGGGCCAGACAATTCAGGGATTTGCATTTTCATCAATCTCTGCAACTGGGATTTGATTATATTCATCAACCAAGCCAGCAAACCTGGAATATTTGAGGAGAGAGCTGGTCCAAGGGATCATCCCAATGTCAGGACAGTTGATAGACCAAGGGATTCCAATGTGAGGAGGGGAGCAGCTGGACCATGGGATCCCAATGTCAGGAAGGGAACAGCTGATCCCAGGAATCCCAATGTCAGGAGTGTTGCTGGACCGAGGGATCCCAGTGTCAGGAAAGGAGCAGCTGGACCAAGGAATCCCAGTGTCAGGAAGGGAACTGCTGGACCAAGGAATCCCAATGTCAGGAAGGGAGTAGCTGGGCCAAGGAATCCCAATGTCAGGAAGGGAACAGCTGGACCAAGGAATCCCAGTGTCAGGAAGGGAGTAGCTGGACCAAGGAATCCCAGTGTCAAGAAGGGAACAGCTGGACCAAGGAATCCCAGTGTCAGGAAGGGAGTAGCTGGGCCAAGGAATCCCAATGTCAGGAAGGGAGTAGCTGGACCAAGGAATCCCAATGTCAGGAAGGGAGTAGCTGGGCCAAGGAATCCCAATTTCAGGAAGGTAGTAGCTGGACCAAGGAATCCCAGTGCCAAGAAGGGAACTGCTGGACCAAGGAATCCCAGTGTCAAGAAGGGAACAGCTGGACCAAGGAATCCCAATGTCAGGAAGGGAGTAGCTGGGCCAAGGAATCCCAATGTCAGGAAGGGAACAGCTGGACCAAGGAATCCCAGTGTCAGGAAGGGAGTAGCTGGACCAAGGAATCCCAGTGTCAAGAAGGGAACAGCTGGACCAAGGAATCCCAGTGTCAGGAAGGGAGTAGCTGGGCCAAGGAATCCCAATGTCAGGAAGGGAGTAGCTGGACCAAGGAATCCCAGTGTCAAGAAGGGAACAGCTGGACCATGGGATCCCAGTGTCAAGAAGGGAACAGCTGGACCAAGGAATCCCAATGTCAGGAAGGGAGTAGCTGGGCCAAGGAATCCCAATGTCAGGAAGGGAGTAGCTGGACCAAGGAATCCCAGTGTCAAGAAGGGAACTGCTGGACCATGGGATCCCAGTGTCAAGAAGGGAACAGCTGGACCAAGGA